AAATAAAGATCGAAGTCTTATCAAACTGTTCTTCACTATTTATTTTTGATCTGAAACTACGTTCTTAATTGATATTTATTAAGCTTAGCCTGGTACAAGGTCACATATACAGGCACTCAACCGAATTGTCTTTCTATATAGAATGTATGAAACAATGACTTTCTTTGTTATTACTGCTCACATGACATGGATAAAACTTTTTAAAGTCGTATTGGTTTTCGTCCACTTGTCTTAACCTTCATTGCTAAGACCCACAATGCCACGCACAGTATGGCAAACCACCCTCATTCTCTTCATATTCCCCTGGTGAAATGTCAGCGCCAATCGAGCAGCTTCTTCCTACGAACCACTGCTTCGTGGAGCCGACTCCCAATAGGCTGTTGCTCTGATCACTACAATCTTAACCTGTTCATGACTAGGGTTAACCATTATATTCCGCACTTATCCTAACTGATCTTTATCTCTTACTCTGTAATCCTCTACCCCGAGTGGCACCAGGGCCTTATGCAGGGTAAACAGCACTGTTTAAAAAAAAAGAATGCGGCGCCATTCACTAAGAAAATATAATTTCTTTATATACAGTTTTGTATAAAAAATTCTATATCTTGTATTTACTAAAGGGGGGGGGTACCTGTAGAGCAACAGTTATTGACACAGTAAGAGAAAATCGCTGCAGGTAGATCGGCTTCCGATCGATTATGTCTCATTAACTTAACATTAATGCTGTGAAAAAGATATGAATACATCTTTCTCAATTTAAGGGATAAATAGGTGGACAGATTGGACTCTTGCCTCATTGGATGACATCAAGTGTACGGGAAGGAAACACCTGAATTCAAAATGAGTCTGAAAATCTCTACCTAGACTCACCCACTGGTACAGCTGCAATGCATATGGAGCCCTTATGACGATAATCAATTTACAGGAAACGTAATCGATCTGTTTCGTAATTTACTCATGCCGTAAAAAATGATGGATTATATGATTTAGAAAAATTATTATTATTGTAATCTGCTCCCTCACAAAGTCTGTTCGACATTGCGTTGTTTCCCCTGCCTATGATAGTTAAAGGGGGGATAACTCAAGTACAACAAAAAAATACTTGGCGCATGAAATAGCAATATCTTTGCCATCTAATTAAGAAATGGAAGACAAAAAAAGAATACAAAGGTAGTTTAGATGGATTAAAAATGAATGAAAAATGACTGTGTTTATGTTTCGGGTATGAAAATGAAACTGGCAGATATAGATTCGAAAAAGACCAAAAGGGAGATGTGAATTCCTTAAGCAAGTAAATGTACCATGTCTTATCATGACGGTCTTCCGTCGGCTAATTGGTAACGACTTGTTTCAGCTATAGGAGTGATAGAAAATAGGTTCGAAGCATAATTTTCTTGAGTAGGATTTCTCGATCTAGGCCATTTGATATTAAATTCGATATTTAAGAAAATAATGAAAAAAAACCCAAACAAACCCCAAAACAGGGATATTAATTTAAATATGTATAGCCACTAAAAACAACGTTTATATCAGTAATACGTCTCACTATATATATATATATATATATATATATATATATATATATATATATTTGGGCCCCCTACAATTCTGACCTGTGCCGGACTAAGCTAAAGTTAGCAAAATATCGATAATGTATCTTTGTTTTGATCGACTAATTAATATTTGAATAAAATAATTTAGCATGTTTTATGCGGATTCCTGAAAATGTCTCGTTCCGACCCATATCCCAACCTGGGAAGTTGTACAATGAAGCCGATGGTAAGCCTCAACTACACTGAGCTCAAATATCAAACTATCCTATTGGTCAATATTCATTCTTGATTGATTGATTATTTTTCTACGGATTATCAACCCTTTGCAGGTTATTTAAAGCCAGAATATATTTTTAGATTGTATGAATTTTTTTGAGATAATACTGGTTTAAGAATACAACTCCTAGTAATTAGCCCATTAGTTGGGCGGAATCGTAAATTCATACGTTTCCCAGTAATTGAATATAACGAACCCAGGCGGAATTGGAACTCAGCTTTCCGATTAACAATTCCGAGCTATTATCCGTTACACCACCCACACATCCAAGCTTACAGAACCTGGTATTCCAAAGCAATCACCCATCTAGATACTGACTGGGCTTGAGGTTACATGACTTCGGAGATCGTACGGGAACCGTGTTTCAACGTGCTGTGACTGAACTTCCGAGTTAGTCAATAGAAATAAAATGAAAAAAGGAAAATTAATGTAAGAAGAAAAAAAGATTCAACGTGACAGACAAGTGGTTCGCAAAGTTTTTCTCACTGTCAACTCTTGGGCCCTAAACTATATTCCTAGTGCTGCTTCCCACAGCTGTATAAAGGTATTCCTAATATGACATTGTAATCATCTAATAACATCCAAGAAAACAAGAATAAGAAATAATACAACAAGATGTCGCCAGACCTACATCCGTATCTATAGAGCTACACCTATACACCATTAACCTCCGCAGACGGTGGCTTTTTGATCTGGTTGACGTCTGGTGCGTCTTGTTAAGATGATGTCAGCAAGATATAAACATCCAGAATTTTACTTTCCGGAATAAATTAAAACTGTATTTTTAAATAAGGCTCATGATTAACAGACACGTGGCCGGGTGAATAGCACGTTCGCTTTCCGAACATGCGACCCTGGTTCGAATCTTACTATGATCAATTTATCCGGAAGGTGACATTGATGTTATCGGCCTTGGTAGGTAATCCCAGCGTGTAGCGCTCCATGATAGTTTCTGAAAACCATACCACGTATTGAATCAAGCCTCGTTAGTGCTTACGTATATATATATATATATATATATATATATATATATATATATATATATATATATATATATATAAGAAACGAGGTTGAAAAAAGTAATGTTTGGTAAGTTGGGCAATTCGAGAATTTCTCAAATCACACGCACAAACAAACACGCATATATCGATTTCGGCAGATAAAGTGAGTGATAAAAAGAAAGATTAATAGATTAATATTGATCTACCAAAGCTAAATATATTTTACACACACACACACATATATATATATATATATATATATATATATATATATATATATATATATATATATATATGCATGTATTTATTAAGAGGTGCTTAAAAGTTCCCGACTCGATCAAAAATCCCTTCAATTGTTCATGTTTGTGGAAGTGTCTTGGCCTGTTTAAGGTTAACTAGCAGTTCCAGCAGATCTATGTCACGTGATAAGGTTATGAGAACCATCCAGAATCTATAGTGACAGCAAATCGTCTGCATATGGATAGAAAATGAATTCAACACATATACAAAGATTGAAAGTGCTGCAAGACAAGGATGTGTCTTCTTACCAAACATTTTCAACCTGTACAGTGAGTCCTACCAGGATTCATTATTGGCGGCTACACTCTTAACAACATAAGATATGCAAATGGCACAGGGTTGATAGGAAACAGAGTAAGGAAACAACAAGAACTCTTACAGAAGGTAGAGAAGGAAACCGATAAGAAAGGAATAGACTGAAAGTATGCTCATGAGGAAAAAGAACAGTTCCAATTGCAAATTACTGACTGGGGATACCGAAATCAAACAGGTGCAACAAGTTTGATATCTGGGACTCGTATTAAAAGAGGAAAGAAACCCAAAAGCGCATTGGGGTAGCGAAAGATGCCTTTGAAAAACTAAGCAAAGTATTAAGTAACAGAAAGATATCGGTAGAAACAAAGTAACGAGTACAGAACTGTTATGCAATACCAATCTTCCTATATAGCAGTAAATAGTGGAAAATCTCTCGAGACTTGAAGCAACAGAAATTTGATTCTTCAGAAAGATGGTGAGAATAACATGGACTGAAAATATGAGCAATGAGGAAGTTCTAGAGATAATGGCAACAAAAAAGACAATTATTAACATCAGGATGAGAATTAAAATTTCTGGGGTACATAATGAGGAGGCACGGTGGAGTAATGGATAGCGGCTTGGATTGAGGAATCGGAGAACCGAGTTCGAATTCCAGTCGCATCCATTACATTCACTTACTTGCTAACACCCTTGGGAAAGGTGTGAATCCTCTTTCTTCTCCCTCCAGCTATGGGTAAATAGCATGGCAGACAGACTGGTCTTGGAGAAAACTCTGAAATTCAAATCTGCTCTTAGAGGAGGGTCAATGGAGTCTCTCTGAGCCTTGGTTGGCAATCCATTTAGTGATGGTGTCAGATAGTGATAGCCCTAGCGAAGCATCAAGAATTCAGCTATTTGACAAGATTATGAACTACACCAATCAAAGTATTGGTGAGTTCAATCTCGGCTGAGGCTGCAAGATGATGATGATGAATGAGGAAAGATGGCTTGTAAAATTTGATACTCACAGGGTGGATTGAAGGTAAGAGAAACAGAGGAAAACAATTCATAATTTACCTAGTGAGCTGGAGGAAATAGATTGAGGGTTTTGCAAAAAGATAAAAGTTATTAGGAACTACAAAGGACAGGAAACGCCTCGAAGGGACATGGAAGAATACGTTAAGCAATGTTGAGCCTGGTCAGTACCTAGTTTAGGTGACCGTGGAATACCAGATGCTGCAAGCTTCGATGTGCGCGCAAATAAGCTTTGGAAAATTATGAATGCATCGCCATCCCCACTCCCCCGAACTTATATCGGTAAGAATAAGCCATTAGTATCTCCTCAAAATTCTTGCAATATAAAAATATTTTTTGTCTTTAAGTATCTACAAAATGTTGATAAACCGTAAAAACATATCAATCAACTATATATATATATATATATATATATATATATATATATATATATATATATATATATATATGTGGGTGTGTGTGTGTATTAAAGAGAGAGAGAGAGAGAGAGTTAGAGAGAGACAAGAAAGTGTGCGTGACTGTAAGTTAATGGTTAAATGCAGAGTATTATAGATTTCTAGTTTGATAAATACAACCAGATTGAGTTATATCGAAAAATTATGCAAATTCTTCTGAAGAAGGAAAGAAACTGAGACTAGAAATATTATTGAAAAAAAGAATGTAAATCGAGAGAAAAGTGAAGGAAACAGAAGCAGGAAGTAATGAAGTGGAAAAGAAAGAAAGAAAAATACAAGAAACAAACACACATCCTTCTCCCGCAACAAAGAAAACAACAAGCAAGAAAAAAAACCAAAAAACAAAAACAAAAAAAAAACCCAGAAAAAACAGAGAAAAAAAAAGAGAAAAAAGAAAAGTACTGCGAATAGGAAAATAATGAGGAGAACAAGAAAGAAAGAAAGAAAGAAAGAAAGAAAGAAAGAAAAGGAACTACATATAGGAATGAGGGAGAAGGGTAAAAAGAGTGTATGAAAAAAGAAAAATAATGTGCAGTCGGAAAAATAAGGTGGGCCAGAAAGGCGAAAAGAAGAATCGAACAAAAATAAGGAGCAAATGAAAAGAAAGAAAAAACGAAAGAAAAAAGAAAGAAAGAACGAATGAAAGAATTAAAAACAAAGAGAATATATTAACACAATGGGATTAGACAATAAATAGTGGAAAAAGAATGAGTAAATATAAAAAAGAAAAAAGTAACGAAGAAAAAGAAATTAGAGTGTACAAGAAAGACGAAACTAGAAAAACAAACAAAAAGAAGGAATTAATAAAAAAAAACAAAAAAAGAAAGAAAGAAAACGGAATCAATGAGAGAGTAAATAAGAAAGAAAAAAGTGGAGGAATGGAAAAGTTAAGAATAGAGAATCAATATGTTGGGGAAAAAATGAAAGAAAAAGCGGAAAAGAGAAAAGAGAAAAAAAGGAAGGAGAAAAAAGGTAAACGAAAAAGAAAAGTATTATTTAATATAAATTAATACAGACAGGAATAAAGGTGAAAAGGAGGAATGAAAGAAACGGAATAAGAATAAAAAATAATTTATTTCGTGAACAAAAGAAGAATGAAAAAAATGAATGAAATTGAAAAAAATATCAGCGGAATGACAAGAAAGAAAAAAATGAGGTGGACGTGACTCAAGAATGATGGAAGGAAACAGTAAGAATCGAAGAATTGCAGGAAAGGGAAAGTTGTGGAGATCGTATGGATGGAATCGCATCGGCAACCATGTGACTAGTCCAGCCAGAATGTTGTCACATTGCAAGACACTGGAGAACCGAAGGATAGTCATTGCTGTCATCGCGGTCGTGGTCGTGGAACGGGCTTTGTTATTAAAGAATAACTGTTGGCTGTTTGCAGGGAATAATTACAGCAATAATTGCAATTTCAGTAGTAGTATTAGTAACAGTAGTAGTAATAGCTGTTGGAGTAGAAGCAACACTTGTACCCTTAGCAACATTAGATACAAATATAAGCAGAATTAGTAGTGAGAACATAGGAATGTTTGCAAGCGTTAGATAGATAGATAGATAGATAGATAGATAGATAGATAGATAGATATACGAAGTGAGATTGATAGAGAGATACAAATGAAACGATTGAAATAAATAGATAGACAGATAGGCAAAGAGAGAGAGAGAGAGAGAGGGGGGCAGAGGAAGAAAGATAGACGGACAGGAATTGCAAGAGAAAGATTTATAAAAAAGAAAATGTAAAAAAAAAACAGCAAAAAGAAGAGAAGAGAATGATTTTGTGAAAAAGACGAAGAAATAAGAAGAAAGAAAAAAAAGACAAAAAGTAAAGAAAAAGAAGTAAGGTAGAAAGAAAGAAAGAAAGAAAGAAAGAAAGAAAAGAAGGAGAAATAAAATACGAAAGAGGAAAAGAATGAAAGAACGAAAGAAAGAACAAAAGAAAACAAGAAATGAAGAAGAAATGAAAGAAAGAGCAAGGAACAAAATGGAAAAGAATGTGATGTAAAAAAACAAAGAAAACGTGCAATAAAGAAAGAATTAAAAAGAAGAAAAAAGAAAAGAAACAAAGATGGAAAGGAAAAAAGAAAGGTAACGGCTAAAAAAGAAAGAAAAAGGAAAGAAAGAAAGGAGCAAGAAAAAAATAAAGAAATAATGCGATTAAAAAGAGAATAAAAGAAAGAAACAAAAAAAACGTAAAAAGGTAACGAGGCTGGAAAGAAAGAAAGAAAGAAAGATACAAGAACGTGAAAGAAAGAAAGAATAAATAACAAGGTTGAAAATGACAAAAGTGGTGAAAAGAAGGGCATGAGATTGTAAAAAGAAATCAAAGAATCAAAGGAATTAAGAAAAGAAATCATGATGAAGAATATGAAGAAATGAGATGGTAGACTAAAATAAAGTAAAGAAAAGATTAAAAGAAAGTAAGACGGAAAGGAAGAAAGAAAGAAACTAAAAAAGAAAATATGTAAAGGAGAAAGAATGAAAGAAAGAAACGGTAAAGACAGGAATGAGATGGAAAAGAACAAAAAAGGTGGACAGAAAAGAAATAAGGAAAAGGAATGATATACGAAAGAGAAATAAATAAATAAATGAATAATTAAATAAAGAAACAAGGAAAGAAACAAAGATAAAGGAAACGAATGAGATGTGAAAAAGATAAAGAATCGAAGAAAGAAATATAATGGAAGGAACGAGATGGGAATGATAAGGTGGACAAAGAAAAAATAGAAATAAATGAGCCGGGAAAGACAAAGAAAGAAAGAAAGAAAGAAAGAAAGAAAGAAAGAAAGAAAGAAAGAAAGAAAGAAAGGGGGGTGAAACGGAAAAGAGAAAGCAAAAGAGGAAGAAAGTGAAGGAATGTAACGGTAAAGAACGAAAGAAAGAACGAAAGAAAGAAAGAAAAAAACAAAGTAAAAACTCTGTATGATATTTGGCACCATAAACTAACAAAAGAGACTTCTACTTAAAATCTACCAAGTTTTGCTTAGTCCGGCACAAGGCCTCAAATGTGAAACCCTAGTCGCGAAATGAATTCTCTAAATTAGTAGTTTATTAAATTAGCTTTTTAATCTCACGAGAAAGGATCTAAGAAAGGAGTCCTTCATACAGACTTAATAACTAATCGTTGTCAAGGAGCATAAAAGAAATAACAGTCATTTGTTTCTGCTTAGTAGGAAAGTAGTGATAGATTTGATTTGCGAGCTTTCACAAAACATTTTTTCCGTAACTTACCCACTTTTTTTTATCAACCATCGTGGCAACTATTCAACCTTTTACATATTGTCCTCATCTTTGTCGCCATATTTAGTACAACGGCCATTGTACGCTCCGGCTTTCAGGTGGTTGGAATGTCGAACTGAACCCTTTATTTCGCTCACTGGGGTAGATTGTTTTAGTTCTACGTGCCATGTTTAATGGATGTGAGTTATCAGTTACCTCCTGTTAATTCCCCTCTCCAAGTTCTCCACTGCCTTAACCGGGTATTGAACTCACACTCTTTGGAGAGGGGAATTAAACATGGCACGTAGAACTAGAACAATCTATCCTAGTGAGCGAAATAAAGGGTTCAGTTCGACATTCCAACCACCTGAAGAAGACCGGAACGTACAACGGCCGAAATGTTGTAATAAATATGGCGACAAAGATGAGGACAATAGTCCGAATAATGTAAATAGTGTACATAATATCTTATCTCAGAAATATAGACAGATATTCTACTTTTATTTGCCATGTCCCTTTAGGAGGTGAGTGATCTTGGCTCTCCTTAGCTTTTCTTGTTCCCAGTAAACTTTGATCCTTTACGACCTCCCACTTTATACCTCTTATAGCATCCGTTAATACCAGCTTCTTTAGTAGGCGACTTGCTATTTTCTCTCCCATTTCTCTTGCTTTCAGTGTGCCTTATGAATATTAAATTCTCAAGGCCCTCTTTCCTCCATCAGAAGTGTCAGCTGACTCTTTCTGATTGTAAGTATACGTTTCTTTGTAGCTACTATTTTCTTTAAAACATATTCGTTGCTCATATGTTCAGTCAATAGTATTTTCAGCTTTCGTCAGCAGAACAACATATGCCCTGCTTCAAGTCTCTTCTTCATCCATGAGGAAATTGTCCAGAGACACGTCACACTCAAAATTCTTTCCATATTTTTCTCACGTTTGAAATTCTTCTAGAGAATATACAGTGTTTAGGGCATTAAAACTTGTTTAAATTGTAAACCTAAAACAAACACGTTATTGTGACACATTACAAACGTTTAGACCAGGCCTGTATAATTAAAGGGCCAAATTGACAGCAGAGTCGGAAGAGGAAAGTTTTAGAGTAATTGACTGAGTAGGAGTCAGATAGAAACAGATATATACAGAGAGAATTGCAATTAAAAGTAGTGAGTCAGATCCTCACTTTGTGTGCTATACTTTCGGCCTTATGCCACAAATAAGCTAGGCTTAGTAAATTCCTATACAGAGAGAGATGGCGAGCAAATTCTTTCTTTTCCTTTTTCTACTGATTAATTTCAAGACAATAAAATCTTGATAGAATAAATGGAGGCTACAACAAAACTGAATTTTCGTATATAATCAATCGCTGAATTTATTCTGATGAACACGAAAAAATCGCATTTTGAAAACTCCCTCGAGGGCCATAGTTGGTAGTCACGCGGTCTCCAGGAAGTTGGTTAGGTGTTTTTGTTTAACGGTATATCAACATCTCCATGGGTTATTTAATGCCGAAATCTAAATATTTTGCACGTAAATTTATTTTATATTTTTGAGATAATAATGATTTAGGGATAGAAGTTTTACTAATTAACCTATGACTGGGGTGAGAAGAGGTGTAGTCAAACATATCACAAGGGTAAATTGCGCGTAAGTGTCGAACCCGACTGGAATTATAACGCGACTCTCCGATGAGCAATTCCGGGCTATTATCCATTACATCACTCGAACATCCAAGCTTAAAGCACCTGATATTCTTAAGTGGTCACCCATCTAGGTATTGACCAGGCTCGATGTTGCTTAACTTCGGTGATCGTACGGGGTGGGCGGGAGGCACCGATGTTTCAACGTGATGTGACCATAAGCCATTCATGCCATACTTTTTGCAGGCCGGGTTTACACTGTGTATCATCATCATCATAGTCATCATGAAAAGTAAAGAAAAGAAATATATTTTATAGAAAGAAAAATAAAAAGATACTATAAGAAAAAAGACGTTTCGGTCTTTAAACGAAAGAAGTGGTGCGAGTCTACAATGAAAACAGAATGTGACATTATATATTTTTATCTCCTGTATTTGAAATAATGAGATATTCCGTTGTTACTATAACAATTGGAGACATTGCTCGATATAAATAAGAGACTATGATTTGTATTAACAACGTAACGGCTTAATAATTCATTAGTAAATAAGAGGCTGCTAAAACATACATATTTATGTTTTATTTGTTTCTTTTCTTTTGCGTCTTTTAAAAAGCAATATGCGCGCATAGGATGTGCGTTGTGTTGTTATGGATATCGGTCCCAAATGAGAAATCGCAGAGACGAGTTCGAATTCCAGTTCGTTACTTACGCGCAAGGGGTAAAGGAGTGTCTCAGTCTATTCTCCTTCAGCTATGAGACGAATACCGGGACAGACTGGGTCTTATAACCTTGGTTGGCAACCAGCCTACCGTAGAAAGAAACGGTTACCTACTGGTGGAAAATGTTCTGTTTAGTCCGTCATGTGGAGTAATAGATAGCGTCTAGGATTGAAGAATCGGATTCAGTCCAATCCATTACATTCCCTTACGTGTTAATACCCTTGGGAAAGGTATGAATCCTCTTCTTCTCCCCGTCCCTAGCTATGGGTTCTATAGCCTTGGATGACAATTGGTTTACCGCAGAAAGAAATGGCAACCTACTGCATACCTTTCCAAAAAAATCTGCCTTGTCAGTCATGTATAAAAAAATACATGATCACCTAAGCGTGTATCACGTATGGCACATAACTGAAAGTCATGATTGCCCAAGCGTGTATCACGTTTGACACTTAACTGACTGGTGCTCGCATAGGACATGAGGTTTAATTATAAAAACAAAGTCATGGCTTACTCTTACAGAAAAAGTGAACAAATCAGTTGCAAATTTACTTCGATTCGTTCGTCGTTTAAAGTAATTAAAACATATTGAAAAAGGAAGAAAATGTCATATATATTCGAGTTTAAATGGAGTTTTAAACCAGCGTGTGCATGCATGCATGTCACCTCTGTAGAGTCCCCTATAGAGCACAGGGCCGTAGCCTTACCACACTAGGCATCATTCCTGTAGTTTCCGTAACAAATACATTTTTACGTGGCAGAATTGCTAGCACAACGCCCAAGAAGACCAAAATTTACAGTTGTTCTTTTCCCGAGACTGGTTGGCTTGCTGTTAACACCTAGTTAGAGTTGGAGGGGGTTGATAAAAGATAAAACCATACATTTCCTAGGTTATTTTTCATACCTTTCCAAGTGAGATGTAAATACCACTGTCGTTGCTTCTTCCCATGAGCCTCTGCTTTGTGGAACCGACACCCAAGAGTATGTTTCCCCGACCACTTCAATCTTAACCTGTTCAAGTCAAGCGGTACCCGTTATATTCCTCACATATTCCCATTAATCGGGCCACTTATTCTGTAACCCTCTACATTGGGTCTTGTACAGGGTGAACACTACTGTGACGTCAATCTCACCTCCTGTTCTGATAACTGCTGTTCTACACGCAGGTCGTTAAGACCAACATTCTCAGGTACAAATATTGGGAACACGGGTATTTATGAAAAAGCTTCTTCTTGTTGCATGATGGGAAGAGCTAGAAATATGTCTTTGCTCTAGGCCTGGCATATATGTAGGAGAAATAAATGTTGAATTACATTTTTATTTAGTTTGAATAACGAGGTGAAGAGAGACTGAATTTATTATTCAGTCTCTCTTCTAATAAAAAAACCCAAAAAAACTTACCATGTTTTACTTCCGCCATAAAGGATAAATATTTTGCCTTTGTCGCCTCGGCAGAAAACTCACCGAATTTCAGTTTGTTGATGGCGTGGGGTTGTTTAGTATTCGAGTCGTATTTTGAATGCCATAGAATGGTCGTCTAATTTGTTATTCCATGATCGTGGAAAACTGGGGTCGAAGAAAAACACGAGAATTATTATAAATTAATGATTTTATGACCTAAAAGTAAAGATGGATTCATATTTAGTGTCGATTTATGTACGAATGATACGTAAAAATGTAAACGGAAGGAAGAGGAGAGGTTGAACCCCCCCCAACAAAAAAAAAAACGAAAAATAAAGAAGGAAAATAAGAAGCCTGATAAAATTGTTAAAAATTAGAAAGACAAATCGCAAAAGAATAAGAGTGAAAGGAAAGAAATTAAAAAAAAGAAAGAAAATGAAATTCGTGAAGAAATGTTGAAAGAGAATTAAAAAAAAAGAAAGTTCTTGGTGTTGATATAAAAAAAGAAGAAAAATAAAGATATTGTATAGAAAAGAATGAAATGAAAAAGGAAGGCATATAATAAAAGAATAAATAAAAATGAAAAAGAGGAAAAAAAAGAAAGAAAGAAAGAAAGAAAGAAAGCAAAAAGTGAAAAGAACGAAAAAAAGTAGAGAAAATAAAGACAAAAAAGAGGAAATAAATAAAAGTGTGAGTGGAGAAAGAGAACAAATGAAATAAGAAGAAAGTTGAAAAAGAGAATGAAATAAAGCAAGGAAGAATCTTAGGGACAGAGAGAATAAATGAAAGAAAGGAAGAAAAACAATAGACAGGAAAGAGAGTAAAAAGAAATATATGGTTATAAAAGGAAGAAATAAAAAAAAGAAAAAGTCAGAAAGAATTGAAGAAAGGGAGAATAAACATGGAAAGAAAGGTGTGTAAAAAAGAAACATATGGACAACAGAAGAAAGAAAGACAGAAAAAGTATAAGTTAAAGAAAAAACGAGTGGGAAAAGAAAAAGTTTACAAAGGAGTACAAAATAAAGAAAATAGAAGAAAGAAACAAAATATGGGCAATAGAAGAAATAATAATAGAAAAGAATAAAGAAAGAAAAAAATTCATCTATTTTTCATTTATTTTCTCTTCAAACACATTTCTTTTTGCCATATTATTTGTGTATAAGTCGGTATCGAAAGAATGAAAGAAAAAGGAAGAAAGAAAGAGAGAAAGAAAGAAAGAAAGAAAGAAGAAAGAAAGAATGAATATGTGCAATAGAAGAAAGAAAGAAAAATATAGGTAAAAGAAAAAAGAAAAACCAAAGGGTGGTAAAAAGGGGATTGAAAGAAAAGAAAATATATTGGCGTTCAAAACAGGAACAATTTTGATAAGCCGTTGTCCAGGAGGAAAAAAAAAGAGGTGTATGTGTGTATGTGCGTGTCATTATGCGTGTATGGGAGTTCGTAAGGTTAAAATGAGGGTAATTATGTTACCCCATTTATACTTCCTGCTATTACAGGGGGCACAGATTGGGGGTGACACCGATCATTTGATGCTTATAGGAACTGTGAGCTGACAGGGAAGGTAACGTGGAAGATGCCAATATGTACACACCCACACCCCATTCATTAGATAGAGAGAGAGAGAGGAGAGAGAGAGAGAGAGAGAGAGAGAGTTTTAGCCTCATTTGCCAGACGTGAGAATATATTCGGGCAACATTAAAGGCAAATGGCCGCTGGTTGTAATTAAACGTAGTATAACGGTCATCGACACGGAATGTGGAATTCGCGAGTCGAGTTCAAATCTCGTCCTAGTCTGTTAAATTCTCTCCCTATTAATCTCCGTAGGAAACACATTTCCTTTCCTTGCTGTTATGGTTTAAATAAGCACATTAGACTGTCTGCTGTAGACTTGTGTGACAGATATTTAAACATGAGATCTTTTAAAATGCCTGTTCAAAAGAAGATCTTTGAATTCAAAATCAATGGACATGGCATTATTTTCCAAACACACACACACATACCCCCCCATATATATATATATATATATATATATATATATATATATATATATATATATATATACAGAATACGTAAGGTAACTTAGGACATATTGAAAACATTAAGAAAAAGAACCACATTTTAAAAACAATTAAATTTATTGATGCAAAAACTTGGTGAAGTAATGGTGGGATTACATGTTTATTCGATGGAATCGCCTTCAGTCCTTCAATGCGGGACAGGAATCGTTGACATGCACTCATCATATTGGACATTACAGGGGAGGTTGATTAGCCTCCTGTTCAACAACGCCCCTCATCAAGGAGATTTAAGCTTGACGAGTTACGTGGCCACATGTATTTCGAGAGATATGGTCCTGCAGATTGGTGGCCATCCAAGCTTTGTGTGCAGTTGCAGATACAAGGTCTACCCAGGGCTTCACAACTACTTCCAGCTCCTCAATGTAGCTACCATCAAAAAGAAAGAAGAGGACCTGTCCTTCTCTACTCACCCTACTATTACAAATGTGGGAAACTTGGCATGCGTAACACGGGGACATCGGCAAGATTCACATATAACCATCTGTCATTTCTTTGGTTCAGTTTTTGATACTGATTGAAATATTTTTCATCTGAAAGAAAGAAAAAAAAACGCAAAACCTGCCAGGTAGTTGTGGATATTTCAACTTGTCTAATCGTTTTGCTGAGATCAGCAGTTGTTTTGTTTTGTGTGCAGGAAAGAACTGCCCTTTCCTCATCATATAGTAGCAGGCCATCCACTCGTCAGAATCCATTTATAAATCAACATCCATCCATGCATTTAATCAGTAAGGAAGGATTAGTCTGCTCATATATATATATATATATATATATATATATATATATATATATATATATATATAGAGAGAGAGAGAGAGAGAGAGATAATATTAGTGGTAAATATACATACATATGCCATATATATAAATACCCATACATGTATATTTTTTGAATAAAAATTTCAAGAGGAAGAATCCAGGTAGAACTCAATGTCCAGGACAGAGTAAGGATATAATAAAAAGGCTTAAAACACTAATATTCCATATACGATCCAATTCATCAGACCTACAAAATATATATATAT